TTGGAAGACATCATTGAATAATCTTTTAAAAAAATCTTGGGCAGTTTGAAAAAAGTATATATATCATTAATTATCTATTAATAAAATTTATAATTTATAATAAAAATTATTTTTTCTTGGATTTAATATATTACACTAATAGCAATTATCAATATTAATATCAAATATATTACTTTATAACAATTCATTTTTTAAAAGAATATATAATTCTATTGTAAAAATTTATTAAATTGATATAAATATTTTATGTAAATTAAAAAAATAATATCTTGTAATTTTTTTCCAAAAATTTTTTTCACAAGATAAATATCTATAATAGAAAAAATTAATTTGAGACTAATATTGAAATTATTTTTTATTGTATTCATAAGAATACATTTTGGAAGATATTTAAGAGCTGCAGGGTGAAAACGAAAGTAATAAGGTAGCTCATGCACACACATTCATTCATCTTAGGCACATTTACATACTTGATATAAAAGCACATCACAATGATCGTATCGACGATCTTAAAGAGTCTTTCTTTATAGCAATCCTTCGATAGATACACATATACATACGATAATTTTTCGAAGGTGCAAAAAATTTAAATTATGATTATTCGAATGATCATTTGTATGTATTGAATGATCATTGTATTTCATAACATAGTTCAACTATAAACTGAAATTTCAAAAATTATAAAGAAATTTTTAGATATTTCTTCGAATAAACGAAGTTTTAACTTTTGTTAACATAACTTACTTTTCATTAATTTTATTATAATATATAATATTGGTTCAAGAAAGCGATTATAAATAATGAAAGAAAAATATATATATGTATATGTACATAATTTATCAATTAAAATATATATGTGTGTAAAAGCATAAAGGAAATCGATCAAATAATTGATACTATAAATTGATTAGAAAAAAATGCGAATAATTTTAATTATAATGTAGAAATATTACTATATTAAACAAATATAAACTTATAAATAATATTCGATTAATCGAAGAAATTTGATTAATTTATCAAAAATAATTGATCAATCCGAATAATCAAAATTTTAATGTAGTTAAACAGTTTTCCTTAAGTTCGTCTTGAAGGAACAAGGAAGTCAACTTTTTTCAAAAAGTTATTCATGTGGCATAACGCTTAGTCCAAAGCCGTGCTATGCGATCGTGCTCTTCTCTATTTTGTAGATACTGTGTTGCTATACTTCCTACTAAAGGATCCGCTAAAATATGTAACAATTAATTTATTAATTTTCCTATATTATATAATATATTTATTGAACATAATTATATATATATATATATATATATTTAATAAATATATGATATATAGATTTTACCTGGATTACAGTCTGTTAAGAGAGAACAAATAGATAATAGAACCTTTGAGATAGTTAATGCAGGAGACCAATTATCTTTTAATATATCTAAACAAATTACACCCTGACTGTTGATATTACAATGATAGATTCGTGTCCGGAATGTAACCTAAAAACATTGTATTAGTGATTAATTATTATATTAATAATTTCATGTTTTTTCAGAACTTTTAGAATAACTATTTGTTAAATAAATCATTTGTAAAAAAAAAAGAAAATGTTAAAAAATTATTCTATTATTACAGAATAATTCTGTTATAACAGATTTTTTTATTCTATTATGCAACATAACTTACAAAAAAAAAAATAAATAGAAATTATGAAGATTTTATTTAAAATATCTTTTATATATGTTATTCTATATATATTAATTTGCTGTATACATTGTCTTTATAAATTAAATGTAATATCCATTATTGAAACACAAAATATTTTAAATATAAATTATTGCTTTTTTCTATTTTAAAACTATTTCTATTCATTTAGTTCTAATGAATTATAATTTAAAATTATATTATTATATATCAATAAATAAATAATTATTAAAATTTAATTTCACATGATGATGATGATGATGATGATGATGATGATGATGATGATGATGATGATGATGACATTTACATATTAATTCTTTTTGATAAATGAAAAAAAAATAAAAAATAATAAATAATTTAATTTACAAAATTTGTTGAATAATTCATAATTGATATTATAGACATACCTTTGGAGGTTTAAAAGGATATTCTGGAGAAAAATGTATATCTAAAAAAAATACTCCTCCTTCATAAACTGAACCAGGAGGTCCAAGTATTGTTGATACCCATTCATATAAATTGTCTCCCTTAGGTCCTGCGCTATAAGATAAATACTAAAGTTATATATATTATTCAATAATTTTAAATATAAAAAATAACAAAAATCAGATTTTAATGTTACAGTACAAATTAGTTTAAAATAATAAAAATATTAGAATAAAAATTAAAGAAAAAATCAAACCTGCAATTTGGTGGTGGGTCTAATGTGATTTCTGCCAATTCTTTTTGTATCCTGCGACAAGAAGATTAGTTTAAGCTCTTGTTAAGTCTCCATGGCAGAGTCTTTTTAATTTTGGATGATGGATGTGCTACCTTTTGGCGGATGTTCCTAAAGCTTTTGACATCTTTGGATTAGGCTTCGCTTCTTTGCTCTCTGGCTTATTGTCTGCCAGTGATGAACCACGCCCCCGGCCAGTTCCACTGGAACCTGCGCCTGATGACATGGCTCTAAAATAATTTATTTTTGTTATAATAATATAACATATTTTTTTCAAAAAATAGACTAGTACTTAAGAAAAAATTTTTTAATAAAATATTTATCATTTTCTTTATTAAAAATAAATAATAAATAAGTAAAAAATTATGAATTAAATAATTGAACAAACCTTGTGTTCTTAACTATGGATATTGCGAATCTCTTCAGTCAATATACATAAAAGAGAAATACTTTTAGTATTAACGATAGTCTATCTTCACCAAAAATTAAGGAATGAATAATTTTTACCTAAAATTTGAATAAAATATGAGAAAATTATATGTAAGAAGATATTTTAGTACAATTTATTTTTATAATATAAAAATACACATTAATTAATAAACATATAATGGATTATGCTAAGGTTAACTAAAAATATATTGAATTGATAAATATAAATTTACATAAAAATTCAAATAGAAATTATAAAAAATACAAATTATAAACATATTTATAATTATGAATAAAATTAAAGAGTTTTTGAAATATATAAAATTAAATAATATCATATATAAAATTATATATATAAAATTAATTAATAATATTATAATATGAACATATTTACATACATTTACATATTTATTTTTTAATTTTTATTGAAAAAATAAAAATTGAATTATATAAATCAAAATAAAATTATTATTTAAAATCAAAATGAAACAAATTCAATATATAAACTAAATATAGTTTATATATTTCTGAAATACTATACATAAACAAACATTAAATATGAATAATTAAGCAATTTTAATAAAAAAAATTAAATAAAATGATTTTTTTAATTTAAATTATATTTTAAAAATAAAATATAAAAAAAATAATTAATTAAATTTTAGTAATACTAATAAAATATATAGACATATTTCTTAAATAAAAATCTAAAAAATAATTGTCATATACACAAATCTACATAAATATAAAAACTTTTATAGAATAAGTAAAAATATATTTATTAACTTGTATTCATAACTAATTTAATTTGTAAGATTTTTGAAATATATATTCGCATATGAATAAAAGGATTTGATAATTAGACAATAAAAGATCGTACAATTATTAATAATTTCTATTTAAAAAAGAGAATCATAGAACCATTCACGATTCAAAGGAAGAGGTGTGTTACCTCGTTGGTAGAAAAGGTAGCCTTTCGATCGTTTCAGAATAAACTTTAGGACCAAAGACCGAAACCTAGGTAAATCCCAAGTAAACCGGTCGAATTCCTTGTAAAACGTACTGCTGGAAGCGAACGTGCTCCTCAGGTGCTGCTGTGTAGGCTGGTGGGCTTCATTGTCGCTCTCATGTCCCAAAGTCACGATCGCGGCGTCCCTTTTCCCTCGGCGAGCGCCGAAACGTGCGCATCTCTGCGTCGCCGGATGTTGACTCTGTCGCCGCCGCGGCGGACATCGGTAGCCGACGCTCGTAGATGGATGCACTGTAGCTATGATTACTATTTAGAAATATATACATACATGTATATACATATATATATGTAATACCAATTATTACCAATAAATTCCCTAATATTCATTTTTGCTTTTCTTTATTAGGTTATATTAGTTATATTAGTTTATAAAATTGAGATTTTTGCTTAATAATATATTTAAAACATATTATTTATAATGATAAAAAAACAAAAAGATACAAAAAGTTAAAATGTTATTATTTAAGAATATTTATATAAATAATTTAATTTATGTATATATATATATATATATATAAGTAATTTTTGAATTTATTCGTATTTTAAAAATTAGAAATATACAAATTTTCTTAAAATTATTTCTTTATCATTATTTTACAATTAAAAAAAAATATTATATTAATTCAATTAATTATTCAATATATTAATTAATTCACAAAAATTTTATTTGTAATTTTATTTCTTTTTTCTTTATAATGATTCATATTTAAAACAATGAACAATCGATATATCGACATCCAACATAAAATCGAAATATTTATATAGATTATATTTATATAGATATATTTATAACGAAATTATTTTTTATTTATTTTTTAATTTTATTTCTAATAGTATTACTTTATTATAATAAATATAAATTTTCTATTAATTCATTTTGTATTAAATTTTTATAAAATATTTCCATTTGTATAATATTTCCACAAAAAAAAAATAAAATATAAATATGAGATAACTATTAATGTCGCTTTGCACTGTATGAACTTTAGTCGAATAAGATATCTTTTGGTTATAGTATTAAATTCCTATCTTTTAATTATAAATATTTAAATAAATAAATAATATACACACATATATATATATATACATATATGTTTATAAGTATTTTTTTTATAAAAATTTTATTTTAACATTCATAAAATGCAAAAATTAATATTTATAATTTTTTTTCTCTTTCAATCCTATATTGTCGGTGAGTTATTTTTGGATATTACTTAAAGATGATGAAAATTTACTAAAATGATGTTATTAAATTGATATTAATAACATATTTTTAATGATATATTTAAATATAATTATAATATAATTTTATTCATTATATTAAATTTATTTATTATATTATAATTATATTTATATTTATAATTTTTATAATTTTTAATAATAAATATTAATATTAATATTAATAATTTTTGAAGTAATAATAATTATAAAAAATTCAAAATTTTTATACAATATAATTTTAAAATAACAAGAAAACCAAAGAAATCTTTGGAATACAATTTTTTTATATGTTTTTTATATTCTCTATCTTTGTATATAATAACATATTAAAAGATAACTTTTATGCTGAGTATTTGAAATTTTTTTTTCTCATTCTTATTCTCGTTATTCAATATAACGTTCCAAATTGTTCGTTTTTATCTATTCCAAAATATAAGAATTATATATATATATATATGTATATGTATTATTAATAAAAAATATACATATACTTAGATAATAAACAAAATTATATAATTATATAATTGTATGTTAAATAGAATAAAATAAAATAAATAATTTTATTAATTAGAAATATAAATATAATTATTTTAAAATTTCTATTTTCTAGGCGGAGACGAAAATTGCTCCGAAATTATCAAACGGAACCAATGGACTAATATAAATGCAAAAAATATAAATTATTTAATTATTCCTATTCCATATGTTATAATTCATCATACAGTTACTTCAGAATGTAATTCCAAAGATACATGTATTTATAATATCGAAAATATTCGTTCTTATCACATGGATACCAATGAATGGCATGATATCGGATATTCTTAAGTATCATTTTGAATAATTATCTATTTATTTTTTTAATATAATATGATATACTTGATATATATAATAAAATATTTAATTCAAAATAATTAATAATATATTTTATTTCATTAAGAAAATTTTCTTTCTTTATTAATTATTTTTATATCTTATTAGTTTTTTAATTATATTATAAAAATCTGTTAAAAATTATTTATATTTTAAATTTTTTATAAAATAAAAATAATAATTACATAAAATAATTAATATATTATTTATTATTATTATTCAACAGATTTTTAATTGGTGGAGATGGAAATATATACGAAGGTTGTGGCTGGAATCATGAGGGTGCTCATACATATGGATATAATAAAAAATCTATTTCAATTGCTTTCATAGGAAATTTTCAAAGTATTTTTTTTATACTTTATTTTATAATTTAGTTTTAATTATAGTAAATTTATATTAAATTTAAATTTAATAATTTATTATTTAGAAAAGAGTGCAAGTAATAAAATGCTGAATGCTGCACATAAATTAATTCTTTGTGGTAAATCGCAAGGAATACTTAGAGAAGATGTTCGGGTAATCGGGGGTAAACAGGTTATAGCTACGCTAAGTCCTGGATTTGAACTTTATAAACAGATTCAAAGTTGGCCTGAATGGGTTTCTACTCCATAATCATCCATAATTTTAATTAAATGTAGTAAACTTATTTAGTAATTACTAAATGATGTTTTTTAGCAAATAATATATTTATATTATATACTTTATTTTTTAATTTTTATCAAATAAATTGATGCATCATAAAACCAAATATTTTTTAGCATTTATTTTTTCATGCAGATTTATTAAATAATTTTCTAAATAAAATCTTCTTTTTTTAAATAAAATTACATATTAATTAAAAATTTAATTTATTCATATTCTTAATACAGAAAAATACTTTTTTTTATATATATTTTATATAATTTTACATTTTTCGTATTTTTATATTTTATATAATTTTACGTTTTTCTAAGAAAAGAAGTTATTATATTATATGAAGAATTTTTTTTTTCAATAAAGTTCTTCTATTTTATTTTGCAAATGATTCATTTTTACATTAAATTCATATTAATTTTATGACTAACAATACAAGTTTATATATTAACAAAACAAATTTCTATCATCGGAAATTATAATTAATTTAAACATAAAGTCAATCTTAAGTGATTTAATCTTAATTTCTATTAAAAATGTTGTGACCAGTGTATTTAATAAATGAAAAATCTATTGAACTTGAATCAATTATTTGCATATGTGAATGCAACGCAAATGAATCATTTCATTTTGAAATCGATTCCAAAATGTTATAGAATTTTTCAAATAAAGATAAAGAAGTCTTCAAAGTTGCAAATTTTTGTCAACTTTTATAAAAATTATTTTTATAAAAAGAAAAAAATTTTATCTTTGTAATTAATATCATACAAATTTTTTTTTTGTTTTAGTTTTAATCCAAAAGAATATTTTTTTATATTATAATTATTTTTGTGATATATCTAAATTTCAAATTTAGATCTGAAAAAATATATTTTTATATTCTATGATCTTATTTTTTCAAATTGAAAAATTGTTTTTTAATTTTTAATTTATTTAAATTTTATTATTTTATCATTATTTTATTATTATATAATTTTTTCATAATATATAATTTCATTTAGAAATATCCAAATTGTTTTTTTTTCAATTATTTTTCAATTATACGAAAACAATATTTTGAATATATAATTATATATAAATATATATATAATAAAAAATATATATATAAATATAAATATATATATAATAAAAAAAAAATATATAATTATATATAAGTAAAAAACAAATTTATATTTTTCACATATTTTTTTATAATAATAATCTTGACAGGCTATTTAGAAAATCCTTTGATATTTGTTTATTCAAAATGAACTTTTCTTAAATAATTCCAACGACTATAGATGCTGATGCAAGCTCTTATAAAATAAATAAATTAAAATGTACCAAATTACAAAATATCTAGATAATGTACAGTTTTTAATTCATTATTATAAAATTTAATTTTTTTATATTTTCTACGTATTTGATGTTTTTTTTATTTATTTCTAATTCATAATTATATATATTAATATTTTTTTATGAAGATATAAATAAACTTTTTTTATAAAATATCTTTATATATTTTAAATAATTAATTTGAATGATGAAACAAAAGAAATAATAATAATTCTAATCGAAGCACTAATTATATAAATCACATGAATGAAAAGTATAAAAATTTGAAAATAACATTATTAATAATAAAATTGATAATTATTTTATTGTTATTTTCAAAAAATAGAAAATAGGCTAGTTGGAATAGATGGAATAGATGGAATAATGATTGGGGTAGACATGTATAGCATAATAATCATTATATAAAGCTTGATATAATTGAAAAAAACCTTGATATAATTGAAAAAAAAAATGGTTACTTATTATTAACAAAATTTTCAATATAAAATAAAATGTTATTAAAATATAAAATTATTGTACAATATTTGTTAATTTTCTTTTTTAAGATAATATTATAATTTTTATAATGCAGTTATTTCTTATAAATATATGTAATATTTGCAATATAATTTATTTTGGATTTTTATATGACTTATATATTAATCATATATTTATTTCTAACTGTATTAATATTATTTTTTATCAAATTATCATTATCATTAAATTCTTCATCCTTTCCTTTCATTTTATTAATTATATTATTATATTATCTTCAATACAATACAATACAAATTAATATTATCAGGAAAAAATTATACAAAATTGAGCAAAATTTATTGGTTTAATGAAACAATTGTATACTTTATACAAAATTTCTATATAATATAATGAACGTTTACAAAGAAATACATCATTTAGTGCTCAATTATGGAATGAAATAGAATATTTATGGTTTTAAATTTAATTTCACTACTTCTTGACGAATAACAGAAATTAGTTCTTGATTTATTAAAAATATAAATCTCAAACCTGCAATCTAAAAAATGACATAGAAAATATTATATCTCTTATAAATATAATGCTATTATAATTATATAATAATTATGTATTTATATACACTATTATTTATACATAAGAAATTAAATTTTTGTTTAATATTTCATTTTATAATAAAAAGAAAAATGCAATTTAATACCTCGATTACACTATTATTGTTAAGCTTCATTTTATTTCCTGCAAGAATGGGTCTACTATCTACAAAAATTGGTCGTTTTCCTTCCGAAGAAAGAAAGAAATCTCCATTATTTCTTAATCGAATAGTTCCTTGTCTTCGTGAAACTTTCCAAGCTGGACCTTCTAATGTCAAATCTACATCCACATTATGATCTTTTGTTGAACGACCTACAGTAATCTAAAATATGAAGTAGTTGAATAAAAAAATAAATAATAAGTTCAATAAAAAATAAGTTCAGTAAAAAATATATTTCATATAATGTAATTCTAAAAAGATTAAAATCTTATTAAAATTTATAAATAATTATTCTAAAAATATATATATATATACATATATGTATATACATTTTTTTTCTCTCTCAGAAATAATATAATGATATTTTTTTTAAATTACCTCTCGTGATCTCATTAAATATCTAACAAGTCTTCCTCTAAGTATTGCCAAAGTTTGATTATCAAAATCTGGTGAATTTACTCCTGTTACACTATCAACTAAAACTTGCCATCTACTCAATTCATTTTCTAACACTTTTATTTCTCTTTTATTTCTCCTATCTGCTGCAATAAGTTCTGCATCTACTAATTCATCTTTTTGTTCAATTAATTCTGTATCATTAATCATCTCTTCTGCATCAGAAAAATTAAGAACATGTTCACCTCGTGGTAAGCTTTGTACAGTTTGATCAGGAAGAAGATGATATTGTTTCATTAACTGCCAATGAGCTAATAAAGCTTTTGCTGTTCGAGCAGAATAAAATGTATGAGCATTAGCTTCAAGAAGTTCTTGAAATACTTCTACTGTAGGTTGAGAAGTCTAAAAAAATAAAAAAATCTTATTATTTAAAAAATACATGAAATTATTAAATACATCTTATATTTACTAATATAAATAATTTTATTAAATTAAAATATTTGATTACCGATTTTATTGTACCCAAAAGATCTTCCTCTGCTTTGCTATATAAAGTTCTTGCTTGTACACTAGCAATTAATTCTGGATGTAAATTACGCATAGCTTGAACCGCAACTCTTGAAACTGCACTATCATATAGCAAAGCATACCATCTTTGTTGTATTTCTTGTAATGTAAAACGACAAGAAAATTTTGTACCTCTATGTACCTGTACATAGATTACATTAATTAATATGTTGCATTAATGAATTTTTATTACCATTATTATTTAGTAATTTTTAAAGAAAATAATAATATCACTCAATTAATAATAACGATTTTCTATATTATTTATAAGTATTTACAGAAAAAAAAATAAATACCATTCTTAAATCATTTGTCTGCTGTACACCAGTAATTAGTGCTAAATCATCTGTTGGTTTCCATCTTCCTAAATCTTTTGTTGCATTCACAGAATGTGAATGATTTTTATTTTTTTTATTTTTTCGTCCTGGAGCATTTGAAGCTCCTGGTCTATTTGTTCGTCTATTACATCTATCTGATTGAGAAACATTTGTAGAAATCTGAATGGGACTTGATGCATTTTGTTGTGGAACAGCAGATTCTATTGGAGTAGTAGAAAGTGAGACAGTTCTAGATCTAGCAGCAGATTTTGTACTTGTAGCTGGAGGTTGTAAGTTAAATGTTGTTTCAACAAGTTCATCATCAAATTTTCTACGTTTTATTGTACGTGAAGAACTAAAAATTTAATAAAATATACAAAATTTTGTTATTAATATATTTTTTTATTTAAATTTATTTAATAAATATATAAATCTTTAATCAAGAACTAAATTTTATTCATTATAAGTATAAATCTAGTATCAAAAATTTAAATAAACTGAATTATGGAAATTATAATTTATTTAGTAATATTTACTTTAATTATTTATTTAAAATACTATATAATTATTTCTAAATATACTTATCTTTTATAATAAAAATATACTAATAGAATTAATAATAGTCTATGAATTCTATTAAATGGTTTAAATATTTGTATGATTTACATATTTGTATTATTTAATCTTAGAAAAAGAGAATAATATTTACACAGAGAGTTTAAATATTATTATCTTTTATTAATAACTGTACAATACATAACTGTACAATAATATAAATTTCTACAAATATCTTTTAAAATTATAAATATCTTATAAAATATTTTTAAAATATTTAATAAATTTTATATTAAATTAAATATAAAATAAAGCAATCCCAACTAAACAAATGATTTGTTTTGCAATAATCACATAAATTATGTTTTTGAATTCAAAAATCATAGATCTAATAATTTATATGATAAGAATTATAATTCTATAATATTTATAATATATATATATATATTTGCTTTTAAAGTCTTTAAAAAATTTTAATTATATTGCTATCAATCAAGTATCTCATATTTCTAATTTGTCATTTTATTTTTTTATCAAAAATTTTCATTCAAATTTTTATTAATATTATATTATATTATATATTATATTATATTATGCTATATAATATAATTATGCTATATATAATATACTATAATATATAATTATTATAGTATAATTTACATTTTATATTTTTTTAACACAAAATGATATTCTTTAATCACAAAATAATTAAAATAA